CTCTTAGAGATGATGTTTTCTTTTTTTTTTTTTTTTTTTTTTTTTTTTGGTTTAATAGTACTGAGAGTTTAGAAACAGGAAAAGCCCACAGGCTCTTTGGACTTGTTTATTTTTTTTTTCCCCTAGCTAAACAAACTGTTCTGCAAATAAGGATTTGAAACCTGCTCTCCTCCCTCATCCCTGCTCCTCACCCCAAACAAAAATAAAACAAACCTATAGTGGCTGTGGAGGCTGCTGCAGGCACACACTGGTGTAAAATATAGAGAGAGTAAATATATTATTTCACTTGGCATGGTGCTGGCAAAGAACCCCCAGCTGGCACTATTCATGTAACATGATCCAAACTTTGCATGTACACACAGAATAAGAAGGATCAATTGGCAAACTCCGGTGCCGCCCGGCACAAGCATCTTCACGCTCTCTCTGGAACCAAAGAACTAAAGAATTCTGCACTTTCCAGAAGAAATCCGGTTTTGCTTTTCTAGAGTTTCGATATTTTGCTCCTCCTCCTCGCCGCCACCTCCCCTGGCTCCTTCTTACTTCACTGTGTTATTTAGTCTCATCGCCCTTGTTACAGTTCACCATGCAGCTCTGGGAAGGGGACGGGGCTAAGGTGGAGGTGGCAGCATTAGTATTGTTAGTGGAGTCCATGCCATTGGAGATGGCTACTGAATTGACCTCAGAGTTTATGGGTTTTGAAAGGTCGATGCCTTGGATGAGGCGGATCAGTTGTTTTACCTTCTCCAAGGAGCTGTGCATCTCCTTCTGTTTTGCAAGGATGGTGTTCTTCATTTCCATGCATTTCTGCAGCAAATCAGAAAAGCAGGAGTAAGTTCAAGCTTTACCCTCCTCGGAACGAAAGGAGGTCAGAGAAGGAACACAATTATCACGTATCTAAATGAAAGCACCAGTAAAGCCTGCAGCTATAACCTCACTCTCCCAGCCTAGAAGAAACCAAGCCCAAGCGCTGTGTTTTAGGAGACTTCACACTTGCTTGCTGAAGAATTACCTGGACAAAGCTGCTGGGACCCCTTTTATCCTGAGGTGCTCTGCAAACCAACACACAGCTCCATCCTTTTGCATTTCTTTTGAAGGACCACTCCCAAGTGCATGTTCCTATTATTTTTTATATTAGCATTGCATTGCTGACATTTCTTGAGCTCAGATCTGCAAACTGCAGCTGACTGCTGACTGTGTGCCTGTGTGCCATTAGTGGGATACAGCTTTTGCTTTCACAGACATTTTAGCAGGAACATCACTTCCTCCTCTCAATAAATAAAGGGTGGACTTCAAAAGAAAAGCAAATCCTCCTTCACTTGAAAATCTTATTTGTGGCCACTTTTTTTTCTCTTCAGCAGCATCCTAGCCAGCTCATCAGATTAGAGTGAGGGTAACATAGCTTAAAAAAAATCTGCAAACGATGTTTCAAAGGTGAAAAACTGCTGATATCTATATTTGAAACTCTCACAATGGAGGAGGTGGCAGCTATTTTATGTCTGTGACATTCAGGTTCCTACATAGAGATGTCAACCTTCTTACATTTTTAGAACTTTTTATCAACACTGATCTCTAGATTAAGTGGTTACACACAAGCATGATAAAAACATCACAAAAAATGGCTCCAACATGCCCTTTTCTGGGCAGTTGCAAGGAAAGCAAAATCAATGAGCAGACCAGAGAAAATAAGCAATTCCTCTTACCTACTGCCAGTGCACGTTGTTAAAGGCTCGGGTCTGCCTGTGTACATTACTGAGATGCAGTCTAGTGCTCTAGCACTGCTCACGTTATGCCCAGCTACTACTAAATGGTAATGGACAACAGTCTCCAGAACTGGTAACAAACACCTTCCACCACTTGTTTACTAGCAACCTTTTCATTTCTAATAGCAGCATTTAGAGGACTTTAAGCACAGGACACTTACTTTTCTTCAAAGATATAAAGATATTTGGGCCAAAAAAGCACTTTTGCATTTGCAAATGTTTACATTTGCAAATATGTATTGAGCATTGAGCTCAATATGTAAATTGATGTATTGAGCATTGAGCTTATTTAACTCTGGATATACTAAGTGAGGGACTTAAAACTACACTGACAACTCATAAGCCTGATTTGCATATTAAGGTGAGGAAAAAACCCAACACATTAATATGTAGGTTCCAACTACTGATATAAATTGAGGTGAAAACCACAGGCTTCTGGTTAGAAGTATGGCATGGTCCAATTCATAACGTAATGGAGAGGCATGCCTGGTGTGCCCCAGCGCTGACTGCCAATGCAGGATATGTCAAGGGCCCCAGAGACGACTAGTCCTGAGCAAATTGTCACAGTTGTGTTAGGAACAGCTGGGAAGCACCTGCGGGCTGCAACTCCTGTGCACCCAGGTGTGACCGTTCCTGAGGTGAGGCACCTCACACTTGCACTTCCTCTGCTGCCCACAGGCAATAAGAATCCTGGGTTTTGCTGACATTAGAGGTCATCGTGTGCCTACAATATACAGTCTGTATGCATCATGCCCAAGTCACCCAGTGTATGTATATGTTGCCTATTTTTCATTCCCACTTCCCAAGCTCCTAAAAAGAAACCCCACAGAAAACAGCTTATTCTCAGTAAATCCAGTGGAAGGTAGCTCTCCCCCATGGAATTGCTCTATAGACTGCCTTTTTTTTTTTCTCCCTGCATTCTGGCACCAGAACAATTGCCAAGTTATCTAGAAGAGCAATGCTTACCGTTATAGAATTGCTGAGCTGTTTGACCTTCTGCTCTAGTTGTTCTCTTTCCTGTTTTAAATCTGAACTCCACTTAAGTAGTTTCTGTTTTTCCTCTTCTTTTGCTGCAAAACAGAACACTGATCATCTCAAGGAATAATATCTAAGATGTTCCTGTTACACACTGCAGAGAGCCTAGTCTGCTTTATGTAAGCAGTGTAATTGTGTTTAAAGATAATTCAGCAATTTATACACTGAATCATGCCCAAAATTTCCCCTGCACAAAGAAGCTTCACAAAAAGCTGAACAAATACATAGACTGCCCTTTTCAAATTACTAGTGACCTTGGTTCTTCCCCTTTAATCTCCTTCTGTAAAGGAAATACTCTTCTATCCTACTCCCTCATAAGATTTTCCACCATTACAAGTGTTGTTTACCATTGTCCTACCTGCTTTATATGCAATATATGAATGAACAATTGCTAAAGTTCCTGGCCATGGGATTGCTTCTTCCTTCTTTAGCATCTGAAAGAAAAGCGTGCAGACAATTAGGCTGGTACACAAGCTATGACTAGGAACAGAAAAATGAGTGGGAGAAATACAGAGAATTTTCTTTTCTGGCTATCATTAATCTCAGCCCTGTTAACATAAAACTTTGCAGACCTACTTGGAGATTAAAGAGAATTATTTAAAACTGTACTGTAGCTCCCACAAAGGAAGCCTCTTTCTCACAAAAGCCATCATTTTCTTAAATCACCTCACTAGCTACAAAAAAAAAACAAAAAAAAAAAACCAAAAAACCAAGCTACTAATGAAACTTAAATATATAAAAGTTAATATATCTGAAGCCAAACTTGCCAGGAGAAAGAAACATGATTTCACAGTACAGACAAATTACTCATTTTATTTGTTCTGGGGGAGAATGTCTCATGGCACAGAGCATTCCCACACCATACATTCAAATATAACACTTCCTGGCTAATAAAACATGACACTGTCCTATCTCTCCCCTTTTTTAGAATTGTCCTTAAATACATTTGCCAAACTCTCCTTATAAAGGCTAAGCATCATTTATGTCCTTACAACGAGAAACATACTCCTTCCTAAGGAACTTTATTTAGAGAGGAAAACCATACACTGTGTCTTTGTGAGATGCAAATCAGAAAGGTGACTCAGAAGACTCACGACTCAGTCACTATACAGGGAAGTAACTCCAAGGGGTTTTTTTTTTCCCCTCTTATTTTGTGGTAACTAATCAGAGGAATATAAAGGGAAGAGAGAAGGTGAGAGTAAGCCACAGCAGTAATGGGGAAGTTATAACATGCCCTTCTCATTCGTAGCTACTGACCAAGTTGCTTTCATTTTGCATTTTCATTCTTCTGAGCAGTGTATCATATAGGGGGCTGTTTTCTTACATTACCATCTGGTTAACAGAAGGTTGCACGGGCTACTAAGCAATATGCTAAATTAGACAGAACGCTAACAGCTTCAGACTGCCAGTAACAGCAGTTCTTTGCAACTTATGGACTTCCATGTAAGGGCTCTGAAAACAGAAGCTTGCTTCTTTGTTTTGTAATCTCATTGCAATTAGAGAAGAAATATTAACATACAATCTATTCATTTCAATTGTGAGCTTTCAGAGAGGAATTTGAAAGGAAGAAGACCCAAGCTATTTACCTATCATTACTCTGATGATAGATTATACTATTAAAAGAGATAATGGAAGAAAATTTCTATGATGTTTGATTTATACCAGTGAATAGGGACTGGTATTTTCTTAACACATTAAGGTAGGCTTGTGTAAATAAAAATAAATAGGATTATTTATTTAATTAATAAATAAATTAAATAATTAATTTATTTTATCTATTTAATATTTATTTATTTATTTATTTAATATTTAATTAATAAAAATAGGATTATTTATTTATTTTCCATTAAAAATGTTGAAAAAACAGTGTGATAAGAACATACAAGAAAATTTCTGTGATGATAGAGAACCTTTCCCCAAAGTGTGTATTTTGCCCTAGGAAAAGCAGAGCAAAAACACAAGGCTAACAAATAAGACACCTAAAGTCTGGGAGCAGAAAAGCAAAACTTGGGAGGTTTTTGCATTTGCAGGCACTCCAACAGAAGTAATTTGATCAAAATCACAAAAGCCTTTTTACAAATCAAATAGATTCGTTCAGTGTCAGGCCGTCTTGATCTAACTAAGCCCTGTGATCTGGTTATTTTCTTTAACTTGGAATTAATGTTTGTAGTGCATTGTATAGAGCTCTCCCTGTCTGTCAAACAATACCTGGTCTTGACACTTGGGACAGATCCACATGCCCTTGGGAATGGTTTTCAGAGGCGGGTCCAGACAGTCCAGGTGATAAACACGTGAACACGTGTCACACATGAGCAACTGCCCACTTTTTCTGCAAACACTGCAAAAATCCTCATGGATGTCGCCCTGTAAAATTGAGGGAAAGGGATGAGGGTGAGAGAAAAAAAAAAAAAAGCAAAAAATTAACTTTGACCTTTGACATCTACATCACAGCTAAATGCAAACTGTATAGCAAACACTCTTTGCCAAGGGGATCCCAAATGGTTACATCCTTGTGAGGAGGTGAAACCACTCAGGAAGCTGGAAACACTTCTCCTCTGTCTTCCCCAGGTTAAACATCCTAGCAAACACTTATTGCCATAGCTTCTATTAACAACTACTACCCTGTGTCCTGTTGTATTTAAGGTTCCTTCTTCTCTCTGCTTTTCTACCTAAACTGATCATCTACTCACTATCTTGTCCCTACTCAGTTTTGGATGCAAGCTTGGGGAGCGCAGATCAGACTGCCTCTGGCCACTAATGTATATATGCAAGAAATGCCAAGAGCAGGATACCAAACTGAAAAGAACACGGTCAAAGATTTAGGTCACCTTTAACAATGAAATTGCAAGAAAAAGGTGTTCTGATTGTAAATGAAACAGAACTAGTTATTTCCTGAGAATTCTTTGACTTCACTTAGGTTACCTCAAGCAGCACCAAAAGAGCCATTGCAAAATTTTGTCTCTCTAAAGAAGCAGATTCATCACTAACATAGGCTGAGAGGCAAAACGAAGGGATACCATCAGTTATTTTTAGCCACGGAATTTTTTTAAAAGGAATTCAAAACATAACTGACAACAAAACTTAAAAAACACATGTTTAGTTACTATTGCATTATCATCAGAGGTAATTCTTTTCTATAGCCATCAACTCCCCAGAATGGGAGGCCTGTTTTTGGCACTTTTTTCACTCTCTCCTTCTGTTACTCCCATCCTGTCCTTTGGAGGTTTCCTCTCTTTGCTTTCCTTTTTAATACAAAGGCGCTACAGAAAAAAATAGCTTAAAATCCACAGAGCTGCAGCCTGACATCTCCTCGGCCCCACGTGGCAGTCTCTCAAACACACAGCTCTAGGTGACTTTAGCCGAAGTCGCACACACAAGGTCTGCAGGATGACAATCTGCAGATGTGTAGGAGGAGACAAACTGCATACCTGCTCCCTTTGCATGACATATCAGTGCATGCAATGCTTCACTTTGACCTGTGCAGTCTTTTCCCATGGTGTGAATAAATTCCATCACCTTAAAATGATGTTGGACTTGGCCATGCACTTGCACATTAGGTTGCCAGGCAAGAAATATGGCACTAATCCCTACTGTGGGTAAAATATTAAACATATTACAAGAGTGACACACAAGCAATCTGCGAGGGTTTCTGCTTTGTGGATCTACTGCTGATGAGGTTTTTCTTTGAAGGGAATGTTATTCTTAATTCCCAAGGTTAGTGCTGCTGTCCTGTTTTGTGAAGGATCACTCTTTAGTGAACTTCCAGTGGCACGGTTCCGTCCCGTGATTCCCACGGATCATTGAGAGCTGGCTTCTAGTATTATTTCACCCTTTAATGCCAGAGTTTTTCAGTGTTAATTGAAGAACTAAATGAGTGACATTTCATGCCTCTTGTGAAGTGATCTGTGTAACCAGGCTGATAAAATCTCTGTTGCTCTATCACGCGTTTTGCAAGTTAAGGAAGGAAAAGAAGGCAGGCAAAAATGTCATATAAGCTAAAACAAAATCCTCTGGAACCTAAGGAAAAAAAGTTTGACGAAAATTCTCACATTCTGAAAGAAAATGTTCATTCTAGAGAATTAGATGTGTTGTTCAGATGCTTTAGACCGACTGCCACACACACAAAGGCATTTGTTAGCACGCTGGGTGTTTTCAGCGTGCTGAAACCCCAAGACTGCCAAATCTAATATCGTGCAGAAATAGATCTAAACAAGAGACACACGCAGCTGCTTCTTGAGGAGGTGACACTTAGAAATTTAAACTTAGACACTTCTAAATTCAACAAAATGTCAAAAAAACAAGTCACGTGGCTGCTAGTGCGCAGCACCGGGGAACTGGCTGGAATGACAACACACAAACTCCATAATTCATGTCTGATTTAAGAAACAGTGCAAAATGCAGGGCAATTCCTGAGAACTGGTAACTGGCATTACCGAAACTCCTAGCCCCTGCCTGATTTCCAGTAAATACCAGGGGTTTACTTGCAGTTAATGAATATATGTATAAGGGGGGCTTGATTCAGTGCTGTGACATGCACCCACTAAGCAGCTTTCAGGACGTGCTCTGTGAAGCCTAGAGGCCGCCAACTTGCATTAGAGCCGTGCTCACCGAGGCTGCTCTGACATATGCTACAGGGTGCGAAGACTCAAGAATAATTTCAGAACACAGAAGCATAAAAGGTGATTTAAGGTCATCTTTTGTTCTGCACCAAGAGCAGAGAAAAGCAACCCAAAGCCTTTCGGATAGACCACAGTTTTCTTTATTTCTGCACACTGCCTAGAGCAACAGGGATCACTTTAGACAATAGAACTGGACAATATGGTATCAGATCAAAAATGTAAGTAACCTGTGTGTTTGAATGCTAGTATCTATATTTATAATTACATTACAATGGAAAAATGCAAAAACTAAATATTCTCTGATAAAAAAGATGATCATAAAAAGAGAGAAAGAGTCTCGTGCTATTCTTGCTACTGTGTGATTGACTGCCAAAGGTGACCACTGTCCTCCAGGTGAATGTGCTGCCGACTGTGAGGGAGGTTCATCTGTTACCAACTAATTCACAGATAATTGCCAGACACATACAGAAAATTTTGCATCACCTCTTTCCTTCTCCCCGCCTCTAGTCCTAACTTTTATTCCTGCATCTTCATCTGTTTTCCCACCTCATGGGTCTGCTTCATCCTTCCTTCAGAATTCACCTCTGTCATTTAGAGAATGGCTATTTGGGAGAAAATCAAGAAAGCTGCTCTGAGCTGCACTGCCTGGTGCTGACAGCTTGGCACAATTGGTAATTTTCTCTAGGTTGCCTAAAAACAAGGATTATTTAAGTGCTAAATTTTCATTCTAAAAACCTATAAAAATTAGACCTTTTTCAGCAACACGAACATAAAAATATTCTGAAGGGAGGCAAAGCTACAGATTCCTTCTGTATCAGCCTAAGGAAGAGCTAAACTCTTTTTACCAAGACTTTCAAAATAACTTTTTATTTAGGCACATGCCCTGTTTTCAGCTTGTATTTCCCAAAAGCTGGAGCCTGTAACCACAAGCAACATTTGGCATCCTATCTAGAATAAACAGATCTTTCTCTATTAGCATCATCAACTAGTTCTGTAGCGCCAGTTGAAAATAAACTGGCCTCTCTGATCCTGCCTTCTCCCTACACCCAGGCAGTCGTTTCTGTCCCCTGCGTAAGGCTGGCAAAGGCCATGTGTGGCTGTAAAACAAAGCAGAGCAGATCATGATCTGGGCTAGGCCTAGCAATATTTCAGCTATGTCAGTTCCTTATGCAGAAGGCAGTGGGGCCCCAGAAATGCTGCTGCTGGCACAGCACAAGAGGCATTAAAGGGATGAGAAACAACTGCTGGGGGAGGCAGGAACAGCTCCCTTCCGTGGCATTGCTGCCTTTTGCTCCTTTAACAAATCCATAAACTGTGGCGTGAGTACTCCAGTGTTTAATGTATTGTACCTCTAATTAAGCTGCGAGCTCCTGAGATGAAAAGGAGCTAAATTTGCTCTGTCCTCACCTCTGGCACCACTCCCACTGCTGGTTTTTAAATAAATGGCATTATGCAGCACTTCTCCAACCAAGGATCCTCAAGTTCTCAATGCTCAGATGGGCAAAGGATGCACCATGCCAAATGTATAAAACCAAATCACACGGAAGGGATGTGACTGCACAAGCTTATCCAGCAATTTTCCTGGAACATATAAGCAGAAGACTACCACCTGACTCACCGCAGGCAATGGGGACCATTCCTCTCCCACTGACTAATTTGCTACAGATTACAAGTAATGACAGAAAAACTGATCTCATATTTACTTGCTTCTGTTATTTTGCTGTCTCTGAAGGTTCAAATTTTATCAATAAAAAATCTGAAATACTGCTTTGATGAGCACTTTGAAATAGTTTTTGTGCTTTTATATGGAATTCAAAATCAAATATTGCTGAAAAGTTGAGCTACAGACTTAGCTCAACTGATGGAGAACATGCAACTTTGGGATTAAATTTTTCAAAAAATTAAAACCTCAAAAACATTAATGCTTAAACACTGCTGTTGCTTTTGTATAAATTAATAAGCTTGTTTGGGAACATTTTAAGGGAGATGTACATACTATTCTGAGGAGGAAAAAGTGCTTGTACTACATTGTAATATGCTCAGGTAAGAGAATATTAGCTGTTTACTGTGTAATCTTCCATTGTCTTCTCAAAAATCTTCTAATTTAATTAATACTAAATCATCCCAAATCTCTTTCAATACTAAGCAAATTCATCAGGCTGAGGACATTCAGAACTAAATTTGAACCCTATAAAAGCTCTTCACTCTTGGTTCAGCCTCCTGCAGACAGGCACTGCAGAAAATAGGGCAATATCATATTAACTTGTTTTGAGAGCTCTTAGAGAGTGGGAAAAAGACCCAACAATACACACACACAAGTCAGGTGATGGAAAAAACCTACCACATTACCCTATCTTTTTTGGGGTCAGTGCAAAAAACCATTTTCTCCAGTGTGTTTTCTAGTCATTTGTACTGTTTACTTATAAATGTCCCCAGGGATCGTGCTGGCCCATCTTCACCTCAGAGGTTGTTTCACAGTCTCATTCGTTTGACTGCCAGGAAGGGCTTTTTATACTCTACTGCTGCTCTGCTCTCAGAAGCAAGTATATAAAAGAACACCTTTTAATTTCACATTCCTATTCCCTGTATAATAAAATTGCATCTATTTACCTCCCTGACTCCGATGCAATTGTGCTATTTCTATTCCTGTTACTTATGCAGAGCAAACGCAGTCCAGAGGCAACAAACTGACCTCTGCTCCCTCTGGTGAGTGGTCAGTAGAGTCAGTCACTCAGTCTGAGCACTTACAGTGGTGCAGTTGCACAGCTGAAGGCTGCACAACTTAAATCCCATTAAACAAGACTGTGTCTTGGTTAGATGTGGTAATACATGGAAAAGGAAGAGACCACCCTGGCACCGATTGCAGGACTCCGCAACTCAGGTACATAGAAATAAACAAGTGCTTTTTTATTTTTAAACTGAGCCCACTAAGTAGCAGTCTCTAAAGGGCAAGCACGTTACTGGCAGTGTAGAATGTATTGCCAAGAGCTCCTGAGAACTTCTGTGCAATAAATTGTTCTTCCCACGCTGAATAGTCACAGTGCACTTTCATTCAAAGCACAGAGTACAATCCCTTTGCTGCAGTGTTACTTCAGGCCTACACAGCAACTCAGCTTATTTTTTCTTATTATAAGTTTCCTGATGTTTACATCTGACCTTAAAATTTTTTCATCATGTTTTTGCAAGAAATGAAAAAAAAAAAAAAACACGAAATAACAGTGACTTAAGAAAGGCTGTGCTTTGAGTAACAAATCTTACCTTTAAGGTAATTTAAAATAAGGACACTTGCTTCTTTATAAATCATAACAAAATGACTAGGTTTCATTCAAGGCACGTTGTGTGGCCTGAGCACAGGAAGGAAGTGTTTAGTTGCCTCCACACAGCTGAATTTCTGTAATTGTGCTTTGAACGCTGCCCTAGGTGCTCTAAGAGGTTTCCCTCCTTTCCCTTTTGTTCCTGTGTCTGTAAGTAATACTTCCCATTCTCCCCTCCATGTTTGCACGGATGACCAATCCAATGTGGTCAGACGATCCCAGGCAGTGCACAGAGGAAACAAGCTCCTCCTCCGGCAGCCTGGTGCTTCCCAGTGCTTCAGTCCACTGATGGACTTCTAAACAAAACCCATTCCCCGAGAATTACTTACGTCTGTGGAGCTGGGACTAGGCAGGGACACAGGCTGAACGGCTGCGGGAAAAGTAAATGTGGTCTCTGTCTTTTCATTTTCTGGGGAGTCGGGATAACTGGACAAAGGGGATGTGGGGGTCAAAGCCCCAAATCCCAGCACCGTGTTGTATTTAGGTGGACGACCTACACATTAACAAAAGGGAACACAAAAAAAAAAAAAAAAAAAAAAAAATAAAACTGGTATCTTCTCTCCAACATTTTCTGAGTTATAAATTGCATATGAAAAGAAGATGTGTTCCTTACTGTTAAGTTTCCACTTTAAAAAAAAAAAAAAAAGGAAAAATGATCTTACATACCTTTGGCCAGTGGTCCTCATTGGCTAGCATGAAAAAGGAAATGATGTAGCACAGAGAGGAAGTTAATATAAAGTTACAAGTGGAAGGACAGAAGCAAAGATTTAAACATTTTTTAGAAATCTTTAAGTAGATTTTTGCAAAGGAAAGAATATTTAAAAGAGGTATTTCAGAAGGAAGAGAAAATAAGCTCTACAGAAGATAGAAGGAAGCCACAATCACTGCTATTAATTCCTTCTTTCTACTGTTACCCCCTACCTCCCTATCTACCAAACGCCAGCTTAAGTCTACACCAAGGTTAAGTCCTTTATTAGAAGCCAGCAGTCACCATTCCAACCTCCACGCCCTTCCCCCTTTTTCTATACCCGCTCACCTACAGCTCAGCACTTTCTACCCTACTGGCACCTCTTATAGTGACCAGCTTAAGAACAGGCCCTCGTGTGTGTCTCATAGCCCCAGCACTACCAGCAGTAACTCTACAAGCTTTCAGTGCAACCCGTCCCCCAGTCTAATATTCTTTCTTAGATTCTATTAGTTAAGTATGTTTAATTTTGTACAATTCCTCTTGCAGGCTGGCAGAGGTTCAAAATGTGTTTGTAAAAACCTTCATAAAATTAGGTACACAAGGTGAGACAGAAAAAAAACAACACACAACCATCATTTTGCCTCCCTTCTCCAGGGAAGTCCATGGATCTGTGAACACTATAAGCACTGGAATCTAGGAATAATTTCTCAGACTTCCATTTTGCAGACTGTCAGTCTATACTTATTAACATGCTAAACCTTGCATTTGAGGTCTGGATACGTTCCAGAACTAAGCATGTCCTTGGAAATAGATTTCTGATAGTGATGCCCATGGCTGAAATTTCTGATATGCTCAGCAGCATCCAGAATTAAACTAAGGCTCTCAAGGGCACCTGCTTGCATAAAGTCTTTGCCTAATATATTGCTGTACTAACTCAAATCACTGAACTAATGCACCCAAATCTTTTGTCAGTTGAAAATGTGTGCTACTAATTTGGTGCCGAGGTAAGGTGCAGGCTCACAACAGAGTGAGAAGAAAAGACAGTACAGTAGCAGCCAGCGTGCAAAAACAGTCCAAGAGAGTATCAAATATAAACACATGCCATTCTTTGCATTGATACAGTAATTGTTCACCCTGAGCTATAAAACAGAATTAAGAAATCAATACCAGAAGAAGGAGCATTTACTTATCTGCAGAGTACATATGAAAGTCCCTGTATATAATACCTGTATCCCTTTTAAAAATACGTTTAAGGTTATTAGAGGATATCACTAGAGACTGATGCCCTTTATTCAGAAACAGCGTGGCTGCAGAAGTGCCAGTTTTGCCATACTGCCTGCTGGACTGAACAGGCACCTCAAGGCGTGCACAGGTCAAATGCAGATATGACCTTGCAGCCAAAAGTGCTGATAGAGTTGTTGGTCAGTGCTAGGCAGCACTGCAGCTTTCCTCATAATGGCCCCTGTTTTACATGAACTGCACTAACATCAGCAATTCAAGCAGACCATACCAATCCAGCCAAGGAATAAAGATTTCAGTCAGATTTTCAGTCACTGACAATCTTGGTTTGATCTAAAGGAACTGCTTGGATGGGAAAGGCTACGTATTGCACTGTCAATGCCCCCAAACTATCCAGTTACAAAGGCACACATGTAGGCTGGCACTGAAGTTCAACACAGCACATGACACATACAGTTTCCTGATTTAAATCGTACCACACACATTTTGCACAATATTCTCTTTGGAGGTTTTGTTTTTAAATATGCGTTATCACCATTTTTTGACAAAAGCCTCAGGAGTAAAGGGGCTATTAGGCGCCTTTAAGAACTGTGGAAAATCTCAAAAGTTAGTGAAAGGTTGTCACATACATGTGCTTGAGCTTAGCTTTGATTTTCAATACTGCACACAGAGAACAGTAGAAGGTCTCTGCTATGCTGCTCTGGTGTGTTTTATCATTACAATCTAAGTCCTAAAACTCCATGTATTCTGCAGAAGGATTTCCACTGAATAACATGCATCTCTACAAAAATGATCATCTCTCATTTTAGAACAAGTGGCACTCTGGTTGCAGAAAAGTGCTCAGCATGATAAGAAAGATCTTCTTGTTCAAAATCAATCTTTTGAAGGACCTATTGCTATTCCTGGTGAGGAACAGCCTTTTCCCACACTAAGTTTCCCCTCCTATTCATGGCACAGACACTTTTCCCAAAGCCTCCTTCTTCTCAACAGCAACAAAACAATTTAGTTATTAACCACAGCATCCTGACAGCAGCTTTATTCTACCAAACAATGCTCAAACATCTCAGCTTTCCCTTTGCTCGATCATCTATAGTCTTTTTTTTTTTCTTTCTGGAAAATGAAACTGAAATGAAACCCGCTGTGCTAATCCCTAGAAATTGCAATCTTTGTCTACCACAGAAATCTACTGCACAAACGTACTACTGTAAAGCCCTTCATTGCTTTGCTCTTTGAATCATCAAGGGGACTGCAAATGCAAGCTGGAGGGAGAGGCACACAGCAGAGAGACAGGCCCAAGAACACCTCACCTCTTTTACGTGTCCCGGGATGCATTGTGCTGTTCAGGTACGTGACTGCACTTTTCTTGCGCTGGAGGGGAAAAAAATGACACTTTCAGTTGGCTAGCACTTTTGGCAACAGCTACATGGAATTGCCGAGAAATGGCAGGATATTACTTAGTAAGATTCCTGGCTGTTCTGTTTTCTGGAACGTAACTTCAGAAAGGTTAGCTTTTTATACTATTTCTGACATCTGCACTGCTTCAGGCCAGTACGCCAGCTGACCTCCTCATAGCATGAGTAATGCAAGCTGCCTTTCAGCGTCAGCTTTAGATAGGGAAAAGGCAGAAAAACGAGTCAGGTTTTGAAAGGGAACAGCCCCATGCGTTTACTATTAAAAACCCTTGAGGGTCACATGGCTGCAATGGTTACAAATGATAGTTTGCCTGTCTAGCTAGACCTGAGATAGCTTAGTAGGTGACAGCATGGCAGAAGTACACACGAGCACAGAATGAAGGTGCAGGCTTCCCCCAGCAAGAGGTCAGTACCTCAGGTTCAAAAACAGCTCCACTGTACACTGGATTTGCTGTTGTTCTTCTTTTCCTTTCTTGTCGCTTGCTTTGGATTTCTTGCAAAACAAAACATTTGAGTTAGAAGACAAATGGTTCAGACATCATATAAAACATACAGAGAGCTTGCATGTGAAGATGGTTATGATGATTTCTGCAGAAGATTAATACTGACTACAGGCAATTTTGCTGTATTTCCAAGTTTGGAAGATTTGAAAACTAAGACAATAAATATAAGCATGGTGCTCAACTAACTCTCTCCAATTAAGAGCTAAGGTATTTTAAACTGATGGCCAATGTCACTGGGAGCCTAAATCCATCAGTCTCTGGTAACCTTGTTGATCTTAAAAATAAATTTCACTGTATAAGGTTGCAGAGTTTAAGTTATGAAACCAATTATAATCTAGTAACTCCCTTTACAGATTACACTCTGAATTCATGAAATGAATAAAAAATCCAGATGGGGGTTAAAGTAAAATTATCTGTAATTATCTGTGATTCAACTTTTCAGATAGAGGGGCTAACAGATAGCAGTAGGATTGCCACAAATTTCCTTTTCAATCATCAGAACATATACTGCCATCCCAACCACCACTCACAGCTGCTTATTGCTTTCTTTCAATATTAAAAGAAGAAATAAAAGGATGTACAACAGAGACTACATTAGGTCCCAAGTATGCACATCCCAATGCACTTCCGTGCAGGACAAATACTGTACTTAATTCAGACACATTTTGCATGGATACTTCCAGTTCAGAACGGCCATGAAACAGTGAGTTTGAGAACCAGCTTTAGATATTTTCCTTACCTTCCAGGTGGTCATGAGTAACTAGTCCTAGAGACACCATGAAGGCAAGTTTCTGTTAAAGGTAAGAAAGAGAAAAATACAGATATCATACCAATTCCAATCATTAGGGAAAGCCACTTCATTTAGACCACTTAAAACCATTTGGTAGGTAATCAAGCAGTGAAAATACTTTGCCCCAATAAATCACTTTTCATCCATATATATCAAATTGTTTTACAGAGGATAGACATTCATCCCACTTTATAGATGGAAAGACTTAAGGCTCATAAATTGGGAAAAGCCTATGGCTGGCAGAGTTGGGAATAGGGAAGTAGTTTCTCTATATCTCATCTAGCACTGAACAGACTGTGTGACTGGCTCTTAGCTAATACCAGCATAGTTCAGGTGCCAGCAAAATACTGCTGGTTGCAGAAGAAAATATCCATAAATGGCTAACTGCTAGGGCAACTCTGGTTTACATCTGCAGCTTTGTAAGGGTTATGACTTCCTTAGAGGATTCCAATCTTAACTGTTAAGCACACAAATCAAAATAAAGACAGAAGTCCAACATGAAAAGTAACTACAGAATTCTAAAAGCACAAGGAAATCAGTATTGTAATCAAGCCTTCTGTCTGAAAGACCTATGAAAGGGAAGTTCTAGTCTTCTAATTTGCAAAAGACTCAAAAGTCCAATGTATTCCAGGACTGAAAAATATAATGCATTTTATCTATTTAAATTTCCTATTCTATAGCTTTATGAGCTACTCCTGTCCAGCAGAAATACATGGAACGTTCCAAGCCGAGGAGTTCTGAGTGAACAACTGCTTTCTGAAGAACAGTGAATTTCCTTTTCTTCTTAAAAGACAGCTCAGGATGTGTCCCGATACCTGTGGATTTTCTTCTCGTTTTGGCTTCGGTGCAGCAGGTGGAGTAACGGTACGACTTTCTGTTTGCTTCTCTTCTGCTTCCACGTGGGGTTTAATAGTCTGAAAAGAAACAGTGTTTCTCTCACTCAGTGATAAGAATTATTTTTTAGTTAAACCAGAAGGGCGAAACAAATCCTTTAGCGGATGGAGTTAAAACAAAAACAGTTCAAAGCTGGCAGTACACTAACAAAGGCTTAGTCTAGGAATCTGAAGCAAAATGAAAGCTTAAAAAAGTATTTTGCTTGAAGAATGAATGAAATGTGCTCCAAACCAATGAAATGTGCCCCAAGAAAGCAGCTTTGTAACTGTTCTGTTAACCCAAGCAGCCACAAAAGCAATAGAAGTCACCTTAGAGTTAACTGTTACAAATGGGAAAATCAACAAATGATTTTGTATCCCTCAGTCTTTCATGAAAAGTTACGTTTGGCTCAAAAACTGCCTCTCTGACTCCTATGATCTCACATCCTTCTCAAGTTTCTTTTCTGAAGGCAGCAACTCTTGCAGTAACATATCATACCCTGCATGAAAATCCTAAACTTGTGCTATATCTGTCCATGCCACAAACTGACTGAGAAGGTAATCTCTACAGCGACATCACGTTTTTGTCCATTTAACATCCTTTATCATATAGATAAAACATGGGGGGGGGGGGGGAGAAACCACAGCTAAACCACTGTATTTTGTCCATGTCATTTCCAAACATTTTTTTGAATTGCCAGTAATGCAAAGAGCAAACAGATATTGCTGCTATCAAAAGAAACAGGCACCAGAAGTACAGTACTGCAGAAGTACAACATCACGTCACAGGACAGAAGGCAGGCGTTGCTGCACAGCTCATGGAACAACCTTACGGAACACACAAACCTCTGCGGGTGAATTCGGAAGCAGCCTGAGCATAAGCATATCTTCCATGCACACGATTTTCACCTTCTCCTTAGGTGAAGACAACTTCAAGGCACATTAATGCATATGAAATGGTTAAAATTGGAACAAAAGACTGCTTCTCTGAAACCCGGCAAGGAGTCTGTGCTTGCAACCCAATTAGATCACACTCTCTAAACTTACGTATTATTTTATAAGTCCCTTCAGTAGAGAGAATTTAAAACTAAACTTCTAGAAACTCTGTTTCAGAGGATCTATCTTTGGCTCACTCAATTCAAATCAGATACAGAAAATTAGCAGTCTTTGGAAGCTGAATGAGACTATTTTGTCACCAATCAAAAGGCTACAGGAGCAAAATAGAGATGCTCACATTTGTTGTGTTATAGATCCCTGTGATTTTGCAGTTTAAAGCTTTCTTGCTTTCCAAGATAGCAGTACAGCTCAAGAATACAGCTTGCCTATGAACTACTGATATTGCAACAGCAGGGGGAGTATAAAAACACTGAGGTTTGAGGGAAAGATTCCAACAGGCTATTACAAAGCACACCATGCTTTCTATCCCAAGAGTTGCAAGTCACTCCATAACTTGCACTACTGCTGGAACACGAACATTCAAGCATCCACTGAAAACATCTCCACAGTTGTTATCCTCTCCAAATGGACACCATAAAGCGAGAAACCTAAACCATTGCATTACCAAGCACTTGCTCATCTGTACCTGTTTTTCAACGTTTGGTTTGCTGATCTGTACAGTCTGAGGTCCAGCAAGCCTGGTACCTGGGGCTGCTATCACAATGCTGGTGAGCTGTGCCATGGGGAAGGTTTTGGCTATGGTTGCTGTCTGCCCGTTAACGACACGAACTGGATGTATGGAGTTCTGCGAGTTGGGGAGAGACGTGGGGGTGAACTTCGTGGTCAACATCACGGGCCTCTGAATAAGCTGAGGAGCTGCAAGCATTGGAGGAGGTGCTGGGGCAATAGGAATGTTATTTTGGGCGACTGGTTTAGGTCGAACCTACAGAAAACGAAAAAGATGCACGTAACCATATCTTAGTTGAACTTCATTACTGGTTTTAAATGTTTCAGTTTAGCCTGTCTAATCTTTGCAATGTTGTCTCATTTCCTATAAAGTGTAACTTTTTAGCATAGTGTCAGAATTATGCTAGGACAAGGAAAAGCCACGTTTTCAAGCCTAATTGCATAAAAATCATCCATAACATCTGCACATACATTCACTCTCTGTGAAATTGGCATTTGGATGCAGACACTTATTTTGCATGTTCACTATCAAGTACCTTATACATGTCTAAATCAACACACTGGTTCTGAAAGCCCAATATTCATGTAGCATTTACAGGCACTGCTTAGGCTCTAATGTTAGAAGTGTGTTGCAAGGCTTAATGCTGAACCTTCAAGAAATCAAATACATAACAGTTGACTGAGCTATAAATTCAAGCCTTAAAACTTTCAGCAAGTGCCCGTTACTTTTGCCAACTCTACATATTACCTGTGCAACTTACCTTGCTAAACAACAACAACAACAACAACAACAAATCAGTATTATATATTAATCTCTAAGAGAAAAGTGCTAAAGACTATGGGTAAACGCAGTAATTTTCTTTCTTGGCCAAGCAGGCTCTGCAAACCCTCTATTGCCAATACTTGCTTACTTCCAACTCTTTGCTAATTTAGTTACAGAACACAGAACACATCATTATAAGATTAAAGCTTTTTTAATTATTTAATTTCTATCGTCCTGCCTGTCTTTAATACTCAATATTGCATTTTATCTTTGTAAATTGGGTCACACTCTAACTGATTTCACCATCCCTAAATCTTAACTCAGATATCAGCCTATATTTTTCCTTTTTTTCTCTTTTACTTGCAGAACATTTTAGACTCTTATTCATAGTGCCACATATTTTCTGCAAACTAAATAGTTCTTGTAAGTATTTTTTTTAACTAAAGATGCAACCAGTGTTGCCAAACCATGAAAAATTTGCAAAATATCACTTTCATTGCTCTGCTTGACGCACAGGTCACTGTCACAATAAAGAAATATTTGGAACAATTTAGAGGCTTCTTGTTTTTCCTTTTTGTTCTTTATATACTCACCTGTGGAAGAAAATTTGGGCGAGGAGTGAGTCTGGGAGGAGGGATGAACTGCGGCACTTTTATGGGCTGAGGCGTAGCCTGAACCTGCTGTAAGAACATGAAAGAGAGTTTGGTAAGAGGGAAATAGCTTTGAAGCTGTTCACCAAAATCAACATGCTAAGTGTATTTCCAGACCTGATGTTCCTCGGCTCAGGTTGGTTTCTATTCTGTCAATAATTTTTCACAGTAACAGTTTCTTCATTAGAAATGCATTAAGGTCAGAGCCAGCCTTACTTCGTAGTTCCTGCACACCTTGGATCAGAAATTGAAGGTAACTTTCCCTCTAGTTCAATTGTACTAATTATTTGGCTCTGAAATCTCAAAACATTTCCCCTGAAGATAATGAAAACTCACATTCGTTTTAAAAGTTAAAAAAATGCTTATGTAAATACATAACTTAAGGCTTAATTTCCAAAACCAGGTCATTCATTTTAAATAATTAAGGTGTACTATTCAGAAGCCTGGAGTACTTCCCTGACTACCTGAAATCCATGGGAATTGCCATAGCACTAACCTGTGAATAGCAGGATCACCTCCCTAAACCTGTGTGAGTTATTTTGCAAAGGGCTAAGCAGAGATGTGAAGGCCAAATAAGAGTGGGGCAAGCAATGATGAGGATAAGAGAATACTAGAAAAAAAAATTACCCTAATAGTGTTCTCCACACTTATTAACAAAAGCAAGACTTGTTTAGGAAGCAAAATTACTTTCATTAGCATGATTAGAACGTTGTTTTTTTTTTTAAAAAAAATAAACTGGATTTTCTTTTAGTGAATGTCTAGACCTTCACTCCAGAAGTAAAACTTCACTGTTATAATTTCATACAATGCCTAATTTCCAGTCCAAGAAGCATATAACGCAATTCCAAAATATTACTTAGATTTCCAAGTGGCTGATTAACTTATTCATCAGGGTAACTTTTGGAAAAGGCTGTGACACACTCAAAGCACTTTGCCAAACGCTTAAGCAAACAGGAGCTGTGTATGAAAAAGTGATGAGAGAAGATATGGTAAAGAGCAAAGTGGTGTGGTCTAACACTACAGAGACTTCACTGTGCAAAGGCAACAAGAGAGACTGAATGCCAAAAAAATGAAGACAAAATCCCACAAATAAAGAAATTCTTTGACATGTCCTTTACCAAATTTGAAAGTGGAAAATTTCCGGAACAGAAATATGTATAATAGGTAGGAGCAAGACAATTACCATTTCCTCATGACTAACAGTTGCATACAGAAGAAAACTTTACACAGAGGTGATGACAGCACTAATTTAATTCAGGGAAGAAAGCAGTAATAGCAACTTACATAGACAGCAAATGCATTTCTCCCAGGCTCTCATTTTAGCAATGTCAATTAATCAAGTCTCGCAACACATCCCCAATTTTCTCCCTTCCAGCGCAAAAACATGATTGTTCATTTGATTTTTTTTTCCCCCCCTCATAGTCCTCTTGTTAACCAGCAAGGCACATTTCCCGGGGGCAAAGCCACGAAACGCTTACCAAAGTTACTGTGTTCTTTGCCACGATCTGGACCGCCTCGGCTCCCGGAGCAGGGACCTTATTCGTTGTCTGGAGGTTGACGGGGGCGCTCTGCGCATCCGTGCTGAGGACGGCTTTCTGGCTGTTGTTGATGGCCGTGACCATGGCGATGGTGGGTCTCTGGCCCACCACGGAGGCGGGCATGGTGGCGGTGGCTGCTTTCAAGACGAGAGGTAGTGTCTTAGTGGTGATCATGGAAGCTGTAGTTACAGTCTTCTGAGGGGAACAGAAAAGGCGCTTTAAGAGACGGGCGCTTCGCATCGCACAGGATGTGGGCTGGTTTTTCAGGCACAAGGCAGAGCGAGCCTGAAGAGACAACGCTGGGTCTATCTACCTACTCCTTAGCGACACGAAAGGCATCTCACGCCTCTGAAAACTGGATACCTAGAAAAAAATCTCATTTGGTGCCACCATGAGGTGTATTTTGACCCAATCTGCAGTATTAAAGAATGATTCACAGACAATTGTCAAGAAAATGACGATTAAGTGTTAGTACTGACATTTACATTTTTTCATCTTTCAGTTTCATGTTACTTTCAAATCTGTATTGTCAATACAGATTGTCAAAGGCCAATACCAGACCCTTAAGTTGCAAGTTTGTTAAGCAATCCAGCAAACTAACTTCTTATCAATTAAAACTCTGATTTTCAAACGGAAACTTTATTTGCAAAGATCTTCATGATCAGAGGAAGCAAGAAAAGCATTCATAAATTGGTTTCTTTAAGAATAAAATTTGAATTTGGGTATCCCAAATTTCAGTTTTAGCCATACATACACATAACCAGTCTTTAAGTTTCTTTCCTAAGAGCAGGGGAGCTACCTCATTACAGGCACTTAGAATTCATCAAAAGATTCAGTTTTCATGGAAAAATCATTTACCATTGCTTCTGTAAAAAAAAAGCCTGGTCTAGGAGGAAGTCAAATATTAACACTAGCCTTAGGTTGGATTTATCCTGGAGTTTTAAATGCTCTCTGCTAGTCTGTCCGTCAGGCTGTAGGCAATTAAGTTTAACTTCTCTGGGATGGGGTTTTTTGGTGCACGTGCTCTTAATATGAAGTAAAAACCATGTCCTTCTGAGGCCAGGGAGAGGAAAAAATATAGGCCTCATTTTTCATGTTCTTAACATGCCCGATTTACACTCCTTGATTTTAAATGCACAAAAATTTTCTTTCTAATAAGATAATATAAATGTGTTTCCAGTTGGAAACGTCAGTATTTTCTCTAGTAATGTCATCTTAAACAAAAATGAATTTTACCTTCACACCTCTGACTTCATAATGCTTAAACTATATCCTCTGCTAATTCTGCACAAGTTTAAAAAAAATTTAGACATTCTACAAAGCCAAATCAAAAGAGAATTCATGATTCAACTTCATACATTTATATAAAGTCCAATCATAATTAAATTTTCCTTCTCTCAACATGAACAATTCCCTAACTTTTACATTGAGCAGCTTCTTATTGACCTCTGCTGCATTTTCTCCAAAGCAGAAGGCAAGAGAGCCCCGAATGTTGTGACATGATTCAAGTTGTTTCAATCAAATGTAACCGACTGCATTGCTTTCCTCCATAAACATTTTAAAGAAAAGTGTAATCAATCACGTAATACAAGACCAGGGCTCTAGTAAGTCTGGAAGTACTAAGAAGACAGCTTCAGTCAGCAGATCACAGAGACAGAATTTCCTTGTCACTTTGCAGAGCCTTAATTACCTTCGTTAGCATAGAATACTTAAAACTTTTCAGTGCATAAATTAATACTGAAGTGCCATTGATATTAAGTGTCTATTATTTCACATTTGTAACAATAGAACTTCTTAGCATGGGTTGCTCTTTTATGAAAATTAAGAAAAAATCCTTCTTATTGGACTACATTAAATATATGAATATGTCGCTCTTAATATGTATAACTTTATTCCAAAGTGAGTTGCTCTGAAAAATAACTTCTGAAAGCATTCTCTTTACTAATGGAGTTTTGGAAGATATATTATTTAGAAAATTAATAATCAAAGATTTTTCTAGAGAGACAAAATACTAGACTTTCCCTTATATGTGAGTGGGATTTTCTTTGCTGAAAGTGAGTGCACATTTTGATGGAGGGGCAATGGGACAGAGGCACAACGGTAGAGGCAGAACGTGCACATAAGCAAGTGAGGTGACTTCAGAGTTATACCAGCATAAATAGAAACAGAACAGCCTCAAGGATAAGACCTGGTGTATTTTATTCAAAGGAGAGCATGACCTGCCTTTTGGTTTACAGTTACCTTCCAAGTACAACTGTATCAATGACCATTAGAAGGGCATAGCAGTTTTGTGGCAAGTTCACTAGAGGGCTCTTTAACTTTGAGCAAAACTTCAGTTTCTACAACCCAGGTGATGACCTGGAAGTTAATACATGAATGTAAAGCATGGAATATATGGACAAAAGCATGAGATTGTTTCTGCAATCATGTTTCCTGACTGAAAAGTAGAGACAAATGAAACAGAGTCACCACCACTTGCCTGCAAATATTTTGAGACATGAACATATAAACATATTTTTCTGTTTTCCTGTTGTAGTTCTTGAAGGTTACACTAAGTATCATTTAACAGGAGTTACACCTGCTTAAGCAACCAGGCAGAAAGAAGACAGAATCACTTTCTTACATTTTTATTCACAGATCCAGTGGGCACTCTGTTAGTCTTCTATAAATAAATGATTTTAATCATACACCTCATATAATGCATTTAAAATCTTTGCTGATTCTTGAGACTTACTGGGTAGGGGCAGACAAACATCCTTGCACCTACAGAAAAGGAAGGTGATAGCACCGAAGAAGAGGATATCTCCACCCTTCTTTTCTATGAGGTTATGATGCAACTTTTAAACATTAAGTTTTAAATTTTACCTTCAGCAAGAAAAAAAAATGTTGTAGAGAACAGAAACCTTCTCAGAATATTTACCTGTGATCCAATCACGTTTGGAGAGGGTGCAGTAGACTGCTGCTGCTGTTGATGGTGATGTTGCTGTAGCTGTTGTAGTGGTTGTGGCTGTGGTGTCTGTAATTTGTTTTCTGACTGTGCCAATGGCTGTATTTGAAACTTACTGTCTGGCTGTTCCTGCTTCACTATCAAATTCTTCCGAAGCTGTTCCACCACTCTTTTCTACCAGACAAACAAAAACATCAATAGAAATGATTAAAGTTAGTTAGCTGCCTATATCGGGGAGAGAATAACACCTATAGACTTTTAGATAAAGAACTACTCAGAAGTTTTCAGAAGGATTTCTCATTTTCAAAATGTGAAAATCAGTGCTATGTGATGCAGAGTGTCAACATGCCAGAGAAGATTGGTGGTTCCAGGTGACCCTGCTGTCCTTGCAGAAACCTGTCCAAATTCAGTCTATACACAAACCACAACCTCATTAACATAAATATTTGAGACTTATTTGAATTTAGCATTACATAATCTGAAGTTTCTGTCTCCTTCAAACATGAACCATTCCTTCACAGCAATGAAAAAGGACTTTAATTTGAAGCCACAAGCTGAACTGAAGGCAACGCGGTGACCACCGTGTTACCAGGCACAGAAATTAAGCAGGGAGAGAAATAATTTGAATGCAAAGGGAAGGACAGGAAGGGGAACACTGGTGAAAAACACAAGACTGAAACCACACATGTTCCTCACGCACAGTTACACTGCATGGTCAGCTTCAGAGGAGAACAAGGACGCCAACAGGAATTTTTGAAAAGAACTGAAAAAGCTCAATTGGAAATAGAAACTGTTGGAAAAACTCTGGCAGAACCATTTTTTGACAGAATAGGCTGTTTAAGGTAGTTGTGCTTATATAGAAAGGAAAAAAATTCTGAGAGAACAGAACATTTTGATATTTGTTGTGAAATATTTTTAGTGAAACACAGTACAAAACAAATTGTACTTTTTTGGATCCTTGCTTTGAATCCTTGCTGGGGTTGTACACTACGCTCTGGAAACAAGAGAAACATTGGTCAAAAATCACTGAAAAGTTAGAGAGTTAGTACCAGACAGAAGAGTGATTCAAGTATTTTATACTGCAAGTGGAAGAGTGCAAAAAAAGCTGTCCAAAACTAAAAGCTGTAATTTGTTTGTTTCCTCTTAGAATAAGGAGCAAGTATCAGGAGCAGAAAAGGCTTTTTTTTTTTCTTTTTCTAATTCAGAAAGTTAATGCAGAGTTTTACATGGTGTCTCTGCTTGCTTGCACAACCACTGAAAACAGCTTTCTGAGAGGATCACCATGGCCGCAAGCAAAGCAAAGTGCCATGTCAGCAGGCAGAGCCAGGAGCCAAAAACACTTCCAGAGAAACCCAGGAGGGAGGAGAGGAAAACAGAGCCGGGGAAATAATGCAACGTGACTGAGCACAACCTGCCAAAGACTGCACATAAACTGCACGGAAGACTTAAGAAATTTCAGTACCGGGCACGAACAGGGAGGGGAGTTTTTGCTCTTGTGCCTGTACAAAACACAGCGACCAGGGCGCTCCTCAGCTAACTCCCTCCCCGCAGCAAAGCAGCGGCGGCCCCAGCACTCATCCCCTCTTGCTCCTTACAACCGCAGGACACAGGAGGGAAAGGCCGGCCACAAAGCGAGCGGAGAGGAGGGAGGGCAGCGCCCAGCTCGAGGCGCGCGTCGCCGCGCGTGGCGCAGGCCGCAGCGCCTGCCGAGCGGCGGGCAGCCAGCCTCGCTGCACACCCTCAGCACCCACATGGCACGGGAGCCGCCGGAGAGCGCTTGGCACCACACGGATAACGGCAGCGGGAGAAATGGCCGCTGTGCTGGCAGGTCGGGCTGGAGGCCGCTGCGAGCAGCACAGCCCCGCCAGCCCCGGCCTCGTGCGCTAGCAAAGGGGAAGAGGCAGCGCCGGCTTTTGAGATTCAGAGCAGCAAGTGCCGCGTTTGCAGAGCATGCCAATTGCCTGGCAGTTTAATAAGCTGCTTCTAGCAACTGTCAATAACAAAAAAACATGCTGCTGAAACTACAAAAATTCTCCGAGAGACCACTGGGATTATCTTTGTTATTCAGTACCAAGAGACACTGCGAACAGCATACCCCAACATTGCTTCACCTCGCTACCAAAATGAGACGAGGCATTAGGGTCCTGTGTACACGTACATAGGAGCAGTGATGAGATCTACACTGATTTTCAGCAGCGTGGATTCATGCTCCCCGTGATCTCCAGCCAAGCTGCAAGGCTCAACCCACAGGGTGCCCCCAGGCCGCAGCGCTGCTGACTCGCAGGAGGTTGCTCTCAGAAATGCTCTTTTTATAACGGTTTTGGCAGGACGGCAGAAGCTTTTGCTGCTCTAAGACTTCATGCTCCACTAAAACTGTGTTTAAGAACTGTTCTTGTGCACTCTTGGACCACTCTCCATTTTGAATGCCGCTTGCACTGCAACGTGTACAATCCGTGGTGTAAAGTTCTAACTACCTGACTCCTAAATAACCAAGGAGATTAAGGTATGTGAAAGTATTACACAAGTCCTAAGAAACAGTCTTAAGTCTTTAATTCTTAACCACTGTTGATTTTCCTCCCCATTTCTATTTAATTACTGAATTATCACTGACAAAACTTTATATTGAGATTAACTCCATCACAGAAACAGTATTTTAAACACAAAGTTTTTGCATCAGTCAGAAAATCAAGGCTTTAAAAACTTCCATATTCACAATATGGTTCTTTGTCCCTCCACACCACAAATGTATGAAAAATACTTGCCTTTCGCCTGAAGTTTACTGAATTTTCTTCCAAGACCAACATCAAGCAGCTCTTTACATCCATCCACAAGGTGAAAGGAATCAATAATGACATCCTTCTTTCTCCTTCCCTCTTCCCTTTCTTCTGCCCAACGAATAATTGCCCATATTCTGCCATGGTTAATATTGGACTACTTCAAAATCCATTTGTCAAACCCTGCCCATAAGTGCACTCCCTAATTTCAATGCTCTTACTCTCTTGACATCTTCATCACTAGGTCTCATCAAGAGCTGTTCCCACCAAAGAGTTCACAGAGTTCTAGACATCTTACGTGGCTATTTCTTTAAAGCTTGTAATTGTAATCAATATTGTGACATTCAGTGATACCACTTTCTCATTTATGCCACAGGCCACATCCAATTGCAGCACTGAAAGATTTTTTTCTGGTTCGATCGAGCAGAAAATCTGCCTCCAGGTCTCACTCGCCATATGTCTGTGCCCCAGTGAGACAGGCAGAGGTGTCCTCCCCACGCTCACTCTAACAAATTTCATGGAAATGTTCTATAAGGCAAGGAAAGCCCTTGGAAGAAGCCCAAATCTTAATATGATTTAATTATAACATTATTATTTAAACATTATTTCCATTTTAATTAATTAAACAATAAAAAAGTAGTTCTCTAAGTACAGTTTTTTTAATGCTCACTCCTAATTGTATCTTTATCATTTTCTTCTTAATCTCAAGAAACATTTAAAAAACATACTTATGCAGAAGAGGCTTTATTTTTATCTCTAAGACAAAAAAAAGAGAGAAGTTTTAAACATCTCCTAAAAAGGAGAGAGAAAAGTAAAATACTAAATGGACCTGCAATGCATTCTTTTTACATCCTAAAACCAAGGCTGATGCAGTCTGACTTTATCAGCTGCCTGTCAGTGAACTGCTTTAATGTTCCAAAAGTTCCAGAAAGTAAAATATTACACGTGCTCTAGTGTTCACAATTTACAATGCACTAGTAATGTTTAAAAAATTGCCAATCATTGTTCATAATAAATTCTACATGTGTGATTCTGGAATAAACATACAGTTTACGTGTGAACATACCTACTTTGGGACAAAATGTGGGATTATTCCTTTAGAAAAGAGCAACACTTCCCAAAACTGTTAGAAACTATTCAGAAAATCAATATATTAGTTAAATTTTGAAAATAATGTCCATTCCCTCATTCCTAATGGGGGGACAATGCTTATCAATTTTTAAAAATTTTACTTAGGAATATAAGTTACGAACTAAAATGACTGAAAATAGCTGCTGCAGCGTTCTGCTTTACATGTCTCCTTGACTGCTTTATTTTCAACATTGTTTCTTTTACCATTTGCAGCACCACAAGGCCAATTAACTTTTGGAAAGGAAACGCTGTAATGTGAAATGCCTCATACATCACCGTGTTCTCCTTTTAGAAACCCGACTGTTGCATCAAGTAAGGAGCAGGGGCTGAACCTGTAGGCGCAGCGCACATACAACATTTTCCTTCATCTCATATGCTAAAAAAATAGAATACCTCCTCCTCCTAACTGCAATACCCATACTAATTGGAAGAAACATACAGGAATAATTATAATAATTAAGCAATGGAGTAATTAATGAATAGAGAATTAGGTATATGACAAGAGGAAAAACAGAATGGGAAAACAGTTAAGTGAAGTATTTGGAATGTAATTAAGGAGGAATGGAATGAAAGGAATGAAATTAAACTTCTTTTTTAATTTGACAAGGCTTTTAGTTTTGTTTTAGGCTTCTCTGCTTAGAAGAAATTCTTTTGAGTGCTAATACAGACTGGTAGAAGGATGTGGGCATCACCTCCACATAAAATGGCTAGAGATGAAAAAATTAACTGCTGACTAACATGGAAAAGGTGCTTAATTTTATCTTGCCCATCTCTATACTGTTCCCCCATCATATGTTTACGTCAGGAAAAAAAAATCTCTTCAGAAGAAAAAAAGTCACCTAGACTGTGCAGAAATGGAACAAGATTTGTTCTTGTGCTTCTGTGTAAAGATGGTTTTCTATGATCTCTGACTAAACTTAGTTTTCCAGAAATGTATAATGAGGTCTTGTAAAATGCGTCATGGACTGAAGCTTGGCGTATAAAAACCTCAGCACACAAATTACTGTGGATTATTATTATTATGTAGGAGAACACAGGAATAACCCTGATGGGAAAGTCACTCATATATATGCATAGCAGCCACTTGTTCAAGCTAAGCTCTGCCAGGGAAGTACCCCTTCTTCTCATCTCTCACCTCTGATTTGCCTCATAATGTGGGTGTCAAGTAAAACCCTTTAAACTGCATTTGTCTGAATTAAGCAAGCACAGTGGAGCAATTTAAATTAGGAAACTTCATTTCTTGTTTTACAAATGACCAACCTCAATGAA